AATAGGCTCTTCATCTTTTCTAACTTTCGGCGCAGACTTCACAGCGTGTCGTTTCTTTATACTTAACACCACTCTGACGCTTTTCACGCTGTATAGTTGCTTGATGCTTTTCGCGCAACCTATTCTAAGCCTCTTCATCGCGTACAGACCGCTGAGCGCCCGAGCTTTTCGCCTATATATCAACTTTGCCGGATGCGTGTTCGTCAAATGTTTTTTTGAGCAGTGTTCTTTTAACTTTGTTTTTCTTTTAGGACAGGTGGCCCCGAAGCCAGCTTTGCGGAAAGAATCTAGGAAAAATGAAAACCGCTGAATGTTTTACCACGTGTTCAGTGGAAAGTTGCCCACATGGCAACTTTTAGCGTTGAGTAAACAATGCCTCATTTCTTGCGTGTCGCCGTTGTCTTTTACAGGACTAATGAAAGGAAAGAAAGAAGAGAAAAGTGCCGTGCCGTAACGGTCTATCATAGGGGAGGTCACCTACACTGCACGCTTAGGGAATGAGGTAGAGGAGATGAAATATAGAGGAGAAACAGATGTTGTCTCCATGGAAACGGCGTACACCTTTTTAGTGTGTTTCTGCAGATGCTACAGTTAACGTTATTTGTTGTTGTTGTTGTTGTTGTTGTGTTTGTTGTTGTTGTTGTTGTTGTTACGTGGTCGACGCTATGCAGGCCATCGGAAACAATGCGCAGTCTTTGACTCGTCCGGCCTGTTATTCCTGTGCAGTGTGCATGTTCAAGAAATGAAAAATCAGCGCCAAGAGTTTAGATACCAATAGGCTGAGGAGAGCAGCTGAAATATTTTTTTTTCTTGTTTACCGTGGCTCTTAAGCTTTCCGTGCTGACTGTTCATGCTTCACGACACATCGACCTTAAAAAGAAAAGGTTTCATGATTCTGAAGTCTATAGTCGGAAGATCGTCGTTTGCACTCATGGATATCGTTGCTATTCGCATTAGAGGCTTACCTGAGCCAGATACCAGCTACATCGTCATCATCATCTCATTACTTTCTCCGTGCCACTTTCATCCTTCTATGCATTTATACATTTGTGTTGACTCCAGACAGAGTAATATATTATATAGAAGAAAAATAAGAAAACAGTGAGCGGCTAGATCCTGCAAGCCGCATAATAAAGGTCTATAGATGAGTTATTAAAGTTTACAAAATTGGAGGTGACTAACCCTTTGACTAAAGTGTCTCGTAGTGGAACTAGCACGTTTGCGTTAGTGTGTGGTGGTGTGTTTCCTAGATTACCATTGTGTTTCAGTGTGGTGCCGAAGCGGATTTCCGTGGCCACCTAGAAAGAATCGCGTGGTTAAGACCTGCTCCGGCAGGTGCAGGTGTTAACCAGGTTCGAAAAACCGGAAGCAAGTCGCTTCACCGGAAGTTCTCGAAAGAAATAAAAAACGAGAGAATATCTCGGTGCTCGTGCCACTAATAAATCAGTCACCCAAGTCGCACATTCGAGTCTCTGGCCCATTAACACACAAAAAAAGAGGCCCAGATGGTAGTTCAGCACGTTCGTAAATATATGTAAGGTCATTAAGGTCAATAAATTGTTTGCTCCTGCGTAAGCGAGAGTCTACAACTTACAGAACGCCGTCTACCAACAGTCTGGTGAACGTGAAACCGTTCTCTTAGTCTGTGGGGAACTAATATACCGAGAAAATAGCCGGCAGCCCTGATTCTTAGGTGTCTGGTAGTGGCGCTTGTACGGGGCAATCGTGTGGCCTGGTGCATCCTTTAGGGTAACTTTGTTTCATTACTGCGCAGCTCTTGAGCACAGGTGCGCAGTAAGTTCTCGAAAGGAGCTCATCCGATTGTTCTAATAATTCTAACGTCAGTTATGTTGTTCTTATATTAAATAAACTTGTGCTCCAATATCATGTGAATCTAGTACAAATCTTAACCTGTACTAAAACCACCGATCTCGGGGCAGTTTTATTTTCTTGACGTTTTTAAGTTTGAATACACTTTATAAGCGACCCCAAACCATCCACCGCCGTCGGCGGCGTCCGCAGTCTTCTCTCTATCTTTAAAATAAAGAGGACTTGGCGGGCCGCAGCGCGACGCTCTACCGAATAAGCCACGGACGCGACGCTGATATCAGTGTCAGCAACGCGCCTTATACCCCCTCTCCTTCCCTCGCTCCTCCGCTCTCCTCGCTCGCTGCAGCTGCGCGCGCACCCCTCTCTCTTGTGCGCCCGCCTTCTCTCTCAGTCTCCCGTCGAGAGCGGGTCGTGAGGGAGAGTAAAGTTGAAATTCATTGGCATTCGCCAGTGAGTTAACGTAAACTCCCCCGTGTGATCAAATTGCGATTCCCAGGAACCAATACACCACAAAGGCACCATAGTGTGATTAATAAATATAATAGTGCGAATTAATAAATACCCCTCATAGCATCACCCCGTGCATTCGCACTTAACCATGCTCACCCTCGGGGAAATGCTGGGGAGTTTTCTGAATATTCGGGGCAAACCGGAAGTGGAAAAACAAAAGTGTCACTTGACGCTCGCGTCACCGAAAACACCCGCGCTCTACCGAGAGTTTTGTCGGCCTCGACATTTCTCCTCGCGTCCCAAGTGCGCGGGCACGCGCGCGTGCTGGTCGACCGCTGCTAAAGCTGCGCCCCGTCCCCACTCCGCAGAACACAACCTCGCTCCACACGTTGCGACATTTTCTTGTACTTGCTTTCTTGTCGTAATTGCGTTCCGACACCTCGCCCGAGCACTCACATTTGTTTGCTCGCTGCACCGAGGCAGTGAACATCTCCCGAGGAGAGATGGTAAAACAGAAATCGCGAAGGAAAAAAAAGCAGGAGGGAAAGGAAAGAGTCGGCGTTGTGTATGCAGGTTAATTGCGGCGAGTTATTAATATTAATCAACCCTCACTACGGCGGCTTCTGGGCCTCGCGCTGGAGGCGTTAACGATCTGCCGCGTGGGTAAATTTTTCACTCCGCGAACCCAACTGCGTGTTTGAGACTGTCGCAAGGGTGGCACGTACACACTTCATCCACCACACTGAACCTTTACCGCAAACTCTCTTTGCCGTGTACTTACGTGTACGCCTACAACAAGATGCTTCGCACGCCAGGCCTCCGACGAATAGTGCGTGTAGTTGTTGACAGCGTAGGCTGTCATACGTGGTTGCCGTAGTTCGGTTATTACTCGAAAGACTTCGCTGTTTGAGCTGCGCAAGCCCGTGGGGTTGCGCGTTCTTTGGAGAGTTGCTTTTGCTACGAAGGCAACCGAAATGTAAAATACTTCGTTTAGTCCTTGTTTGAAATTCCGAGCTGTCCTTGACAAAAATTGGGGGACCCTCAAGCTTCGCGTTAAAGAGTTAAACGCGATAGTGAATTCCGGCTCAATGTCTCACAACGTCTCACAAAGTCTCACAGATGGCACACAGACACACACACGCGCGCGCGTGCGAATGGTACATACAGGTTTATGATCTAAAGAAAGAGTCGCATAGCCTCCAAGATACACGCCGCGCGCTTGCCATCTCGGAGACCATAAAGATTCTCACAATGGCTCACAGATGGCAGCCCATTATCTAGCGTTTGTTGTTTGCGTGATCAACGCCTCTCGAAAGGCATGATGGGTTTTCCGCTAGATAGAAATAGTGGTCCATTTTTAAAGCTGTTTGAAAGTTCCTGTGTGTTTTTCGCGGCGATGGCTGCACTATCCTGGCATTTGTCGACGTAGTTTGATGGCCTCCCAAATGCGCCTACAAATCGTCAAATGGGCTCGTTTTCGTCGTGACACCTGCCGAACAAAATGCGTTAAGGAGACTGCTTCCACTACATGGCTTTTACATAGTGTTTTTTTTCCCGAAGCAGCTGCAAGTAACATCTCTTGGTTTTGGGGTAGAACACCTTCTTGCCAGGCGAACAACCCGGGTTCAATCCTCAATAGGACCGAAAATTCTATTCATGGATGACTTTTCTCTCCCAACCAACGGTGCGGACGCTGACTGCGGAATTTCTGTTACACGAGCTCTTTAGCGCTATCGCGTTACAATCACCGATTTGCCACTCAACAAAATGTGCACCTTTCAATAAACGTGTTTTTTTTTTTAGATTCGAGAGCTTTGGTTTCAGTGTTCTGATGACATCGTGTTTCTGAATCGTTCCTGTAGCTTAACACACGTCAGTAGGTGGCTTTGTTGGACATCATAATAGACTCCAGATCCCGAAAAAATGGCTGATGAGGATCAAACTAGCGCACCTGTTTTCGCAGCGTCCGTGGCCGCCAAATGGGCGTATAAAGCGTGCTCCGGGTGTATACCTTCATCGCCCTACGAGTCTGTGACGAGATGTACTTTACTGAATTCAGTCAATATATATGTGCTATATGTTTAGCTGGTTAAAATTTAGTGAAGTTATTTACTTTGATTCGTTAAGTGTTCACAATGAAGTTGTTTTAACGCCAACGCACACGAGATGCAGGAAGGTGTGCAGCACACATGTAATCTGGACACCGCTGGAAGTAAATAAGCTGAAAGCATAGGCCAGCAAAAGAAAATGGAACTTCTTCAGACTCACCTGAGAAGTACATCTCGCGCTTTGAGCCCACTTGGACTCAGACTCACTAATATTTACGTCAAACGTAGTCACTTGCACTCAAAATCATGAAAATGTTTCTCAACAGGACTCACTAAGACTCAAGCTCGCCAAAATGTTGCTCACCCGGACTAACTCAGACTCGCGGCTCAATCTGAGTCTGAGTGACTCAGCTCGTGCGTTAGTTCGCCGACCTATGCTTCAAAGTGGTTTGACCTATGGTTTAGCGTTTCCCGCACTCTATCATTGAGTCCCAGTGGGTCAGTGGGTTATTCTAAAAACAAGTGCACAGCTTACGATTAACAGTGCATTTCATCTATCTCAAACTTGGTGGGTCACATTTTGTAAGCTCCAACGAAATCACGGCTCTTATTTTCCGCCTTAAACAGCTTACGGATCCTTGACTCGACGTTTTCATAAAATCATCGTCACCTTCATTTACAGATACGGAGATCCTATTTCCGTTCCTTGTCGTGAAAGTGGTGACAAGGACGACTGAGTAGCGCGGCCTTAGGATGACTTGGTACGACCTGTCCTCGTTCGTTGACCACCGGGAGCACCTCCTGGAGGAAGCCTTCGGGGCGCTCTCTCCCGACGAACTGAACATCCTCACCCCACTCGAGTTGCAGGTATGGAATTATGTACAGGACACTCCGATTTCACTTCTCTCTTTCTCTCTCTCTCTCTTTGAGGCAAGTCCCTCGAATGTTTTGTATTGTTGTTCGGCTCCTTGAGCCAAACATGGCAGGTAAATTACGTGGTACAAAATCCACGTGCTCTAGGTCACCGGTGACGTCTTTCTTTGACGTTCGCTCAATTCCCTTTCAGGGGAGCGGGGGCGAAGGTTCGTCGTAGTGCACCCCTTTTTAGTATGTCAATGTACAGGGTGTACTTTGCGCCCCCCCCCCCCCTGAGGGGCAGCGCCCCCCTTCCCTATGATGTCGGTGTATGGGGCTGGCTCCCCCCTCCCTTCCCTCTTGTCCCATGTGCCCTCTTCTTGTGCAAACCTATGACAGTCACTACCTGTTACCTGTCTAGAAATGCGTACTGCTTATCATGCAGCGCAATCGTGACCTGGCTATGTGCTGCGCAATTATTTTTTTATGACCAATAAAGAATTCAGTTGATAGTGTAAGCGTTGTCCTGTCGACTTCCATTGTCCGCGTCTTCGTTGCGCTTCAAGATAATTTTTTTAAACATGAACGTTTACCAACTAGTCCTAATCTCGATTTTGTCGTCATGATGTTACGCTGTGACGTCATATATGTTCCAAGTTCGTGTCGTCATGACGACATAATCGTGCGACGTGCCGTCGCTTGACATCGTCGCTTGGTGTAGTGGTCGTAGTGCAACACCAAGTGTGGTACAGGAAGCAGAAGTTACCTAGTTTATTCAAGGTGTCTCTCTCACACTACGTTTATTATGTCAATAAAAAAAAACTGGTTCCCGAATCTATGTATTATTAAACGTTAAGCAGCCTTCGTGAAGCCTTCAAGTGTTTTAGTTTGTGTAACGTTACGGAACGGTTTTAAAAATGCACCAACAAACTATACCTAGCCAGATTAGCACGTCAGAGAGAAGCCAGTGTTGCTACCATTGCTAACTACTTGATGAATCGTAAGACATTATCAGCACATGATGAAGAAGCACTTTTTACATAAAGCTATGTGTTGCAAGAGCGTAATTCCCCGCCCCCTCGCCCACGAAATGTTTTTTTTTTTTTTCGCCATGGCTTACATAGCAAAAAATGACCATTTCAAAAAGATGCCCCCCCCCCCCCTCCTTTCCCGAAAAAGCATTTCTGCCTACGCCCGTGGTTTGTTGTTACAGACGTAATGATTTGTTACTTCTACACTGTGGGCGGAACTAGAAATGTATACGTGCAGACGCTTTAATGCAGTGTAAACCTCTGCAAGCAAACTGTGCATTACCATGTTATTTTAACTTGTTTCAGTCTGCTGTTACGTTTTTTTTTTAACTTCTTATTGTCCATTTTGGGTAACACTTGTTATTTATTCTTTACTTCGCTGTAAAACTTATAGAGTAGCCGAGTTAATATTAGCCCCAACTTTTCCAGAGCAAGACAGTTGCAGCAGAATAGAGCAGAACAGAAACAATGCAAGATGCACCGTCATATCTGCTATAAAGCCTAACCTTAACGAGCAACTTTAGGAATAGCCTTTGCCAAACCTAACCAAACGTAATTTTTGCTGGTGATAACTAGGTTCGCAGGAGTTCAACCGCAGGCACTATACTAACTGTTCGCCAACTATGCCAGCGTTCCTTGATTCAAAGAGCCGATAGCTCTGAATGACCTGAAATATTTTCTCATGGCGTTTGCATTATGCGTCTCTAAAATATGCACCATTGAGTCAAACCAAACTTTTGAGCTGTCACTTCATTCCATTTCATTTTTGTTTGGACATTTCACAATACCCTTGAGCGGAGCGAAAAAAAAACGCCAGGCCTGCTCGAAAGGCACAGCACGTTGACAGCGAAAGCTAGAAGAGTGGCCTTTCAGAGCAATTTTTCTAAACACTCATTGGATAACTGCTGCGAGCACACTTCCGTGATACCCACAACGGTATCAGTAATTATTTTTTTTTGTAGTAGGCTAGTATTCGCTATGCTATTTTTTTTCATTCTTCTGAGAAGCGTGGTATCCGGTAAAAACTTTCAAGAAATTTTGTGCCACTTATTCATGGAGAGGCTGATGACGATGAGAAATCGTACCTGAAGTGCACGTATGCGCCACAGTTAGTAGGGGAACAATAGCAAGCTTTTGTAATGGGTTGGGGCATTTGACGACCCACTCGTTACGGTTTTCCCATTGTGCGATGACTGGTTGTTTTTTCGCTGTTTTAAAAGGCTTTATAAGTCGTATTAACATGATTGCTTTTCCGACACAAGCCTGCCTAAGGCAAGTTTGCGAACAAGTCCCAAGCACCGGCGTGGCACGGTGGTAGAATACTAGGCTTGCACCCAGTGGACCCTAGTTCGAGCCCCACTGTGTGTTTGGTACTGGTTTATTTTTTATATATTCGTGCGTTGTGGTTACGGAAACCTGTGACGGCGGCAGCGGCAAACAACTACGGCAGCGCGCGATCCGAGTTTTTATCTCACAACTGCTTTCGCTATAAAAACACGGTTGGTCTACTGGCTAGGCGCAATTTCAGTAAGGCACTTCAACAAGACAGTACACTCAATCCACTCGAACAGAGTAATTTCTATTATTGATGTATTTGCGTATATATCGAATTTCTGTTCATGAATAACGTCGATTTTTTGCTCGCAACCTAGTAACGCCGAGAACGAACGCTTACAACGAAATTTCTGAGAAACGAGCTCCCTAACGCAATCTGGTTATTACAAGTTTACATACAACGAAGGCACAAAGCAAACCGCAGTCCGCACATCAGCAGGCTTTGGTGAACATGACGACACAACACCAATTGACGTATATTGACTTGCGTTGCTTGAGTTAACTAGTTGTTTTAATTACTAGAGTTCAAAGGTTTGCGAGAATGCCTGAATTCTTGATTCTATATCTTTAGTGCCGCATAGTTAGCATTCCTTTTATAAATTTTTTTTTCAATTTGCACTACGATACGTTTTGCAAGCTTTGCTTTTATCTGTTCTGCTGCCTGAGCGAGGGCCTCTCCTGGCGACTGTTCCATGTGCATGCCACGTATTTCTTTTCTTTTCTTTTTTTTCTCATTGGTTTCCGGGGACATCAGCACATCCCACTGGAAGAGCTCAAGAAACTTTGCATGCAGCAACTCCAAACGATGCCCCGTGCACGACTTCTGGCGGTTCTGCAAGGTGAGTGAACGCCGCTTTCTTGGATCAATAAATGCTGCTTTTAAGCGACTAATCACTATCGCGCCTTAGATTAAATGTAACGTATCTAGAGCTCCTGGTGAAACGCTAATGGCAAACGGAGCTTTTCTATTACCTAAGCTGCACTCAACATGCACGCGCTGTCATCCTTATCTTAAGTGCAGATTTTTAAAGTCGAGACAATATGAAGGTTGCACACACAAGTGCCTGTCCCATCTTGTCAGGTCGTTAAAGCTCTGTGCTAAACACTGAAGATGTGTCGTACCTACAAGAGCAGAAGGCAGCCATTGCTTTCTTCCTTGTTGAATAATTCTGTTGGAGGCCTAATATTAAATTGCTAATTCTCAATAATTAATGATTTGCTTATACGGTTTTAGTGAAAAGTAGGGAGTATGTATTGTTCAATAGGGCCTTATTCGAGTTAGTTAAGGTTCTGGATTTGGCCCATTTTGGAGAAAAACTGCTCAGTGGAATAGTGTTCGAATATTTATTTATTTATTTATTTATTTATTTATTTATTTATTTATTTTTTATTTATTTATTTATTTAGAATGCATCCAATGTCTTCAGAGGCCATAGCATAGAAGCCACACACACAAAGAAAAACCTTATTTGTTTACACAAAATCAGACATGGCTAATGTTGTACACGATACTTAAACTTTTTATCAAAACATGTTATTGAAACAATTTCAGAAACAACTAATTCATAGATGAGATCATCACTGAAAGCAACTATAAAAAGATAAACTATAATTTGTAACATGGCATGGAGCCAGCACTTGTACGTTACTATTAGAAGAACACGTGATTAAGAAAGCTTTAAGAACAACAAATAAATTGAAAAGCCTGTCACTTAATATAATTCTAAAAGACAGAAGGGACACATTGGTAACACGAAATGAGCTCAGCGGTCAGCAAGTATACATGTTCACTTCTCAATGAAACTACTGCTACTTGGGAAGCAACCAATGTCATCGCAAGAACTACGTTTTACGCAAGCATGCAAGATGTCGTATACGCTACTTCGGCGTCATTTTCTGTTTGACCCATCCGACTCCTAGTGGCGAAGGCTCGACGGGTAAACAACTTGAACGACGGTGCACCGTTCCTACAGCTTGTTTCGACGATGACGCACTCGTTGAGTAGCAGCGTACGCCCGCAGTTCCTGCAACGGAGGCTTCTGGGTTTGCTCTCGTTCCGGCTGCACCCTGTTGTCTCTGCGAAAGTGTCGCGGAGCGCGCTACGATGCACTTCACATCGTTTGATCGTTTTTGACAGGCAGTGGAGTTTTGGTGGTGTCTATTTGCGCAAGGGCTGCACTGAAAACAGAGCGCCAGGCCACTCTTTTTCATCGCGATGATGAAGAACAGCGAGCGTATCGACTATTTTACGGATATAGTTTTCAGTGCCGCCATGTTCCGTTGTTAACCTCTGTGTTTTGTATCTTTACCAACTGAATAGACGGCGTTACGTTAGACGCATACGCATAAATACGGTTGGGTTGGTGCGCGCGATGTTTCGTACCTTTATTTGACAGTTATGGTTTAGCGTTAGCGTGATAGCATAGGTTAAGGGAAGGGCGTTACCGTGCAGCAAACGTTCATTGTGCACGGGCAGCGCCTTATAGTTTAGCGGGATAGCGTTTACGTGGTTTACGTGCCTCAGCTGGGATGGTGGCGCCACCTATTCGATGGTTAATAAGTTAAACAGCGAAAATGAAAAGAAAACGAGAATGTTTGCCTATGCCACCGTGCGAAGCATTGTTAGAATTTTCTAGTAGTGATAATAAAAGTAAATAAATACGAACCAGGCACCAAACACGAAAACATCTATGATGCCGATTTATTTGTTTACATTGATCTCTTGTAGTTAGGCCTAGACGTGTTCCAAACGGGAAGCTATCTCAAAAACTACGCCAACTTATCCGTAATACTCGGTCGTCGAGGCTAACTGAAGGCAAGCGAAGCCATTTTAAACAGTCGTTTGCTGCGAATAAGGGGAATCTTTTAACTAGTACGCCAAAATCGCTTCGAAGCGGGCGACCGAAGAGCACCGCCATGTTTACGTACACTACGTACACCTACGCTACCACGGTAACGTGAAAACTGAAAAATACCGTGCGTACGGTAAGCGGTATGGGTGACGTACGTATCTGCGCATGCGCACTTCGATTCCGATATCACGGTACACCCGGTAACCCGGTAAGTCCGGTATACTATAACTCTCTATTGATTCACGTCGCGATACGCAAAATCAAGAAAACATCGGCGGCCTAAGATGATGGTGCCCCATATATGTCTTACGGAAAATGGTCTATACCTCAGCTGTCTCGTATACTCGCCCAAGGAGGCAGGCCGCAGTCATGAAATGTAGTGCCGCAAGGGCCTCGACAGTTCACTTCAGTTTTCAGACTACAGACCTTTTTCATAATTGTAACGCTAGCTTTCCTGCTATGCAGTTTGCCCTACTAATGGCGGCTAGTCACTTTCTGCAAGCGGAGTTTTCAAGCGCAGTTTACTTGCGCTAAGACATGAGAATTGTAGGTTTAGCTATCTCGACATTAATGCGCGAAATATATCAGCCGCCGCGTGTTTAACTAGGACCTGGTCTTCATTTGAAGTATGACAGGTGCTGCCATTAGTAGGGCAAAGATGCAGTGCCGAGAAGTGCACTTGCGAATTACGAAAAGGGTATATTCTGAAATGCACTTCTTGTTTCACGGTTATGTTGGGACTGTTATCCCGGCAACCACCAGGGAGCGCTGGCTGGGCGCGTGATCCGTGACCGTCGCATTACATAGTACGCATGCCCTGCTAGGCCTGTGTAAACACTTCCTAAACACTTGTACACACATCATATGGACTTTTAATGAGTGCATCTAGTCCTTAGTAATATATATATATATATATATATATATATATATATATATATATATATATATATATATATATATATATATATATATATATATATATATATATATATATATATATATATATATATATATATATATATATATATATATATAACGAGTTTCTCACGGAGGCATTTCACAAGTTCGCTCGCCGCGACGAGACACCGCATTTTTCCAGCTCGCTCGCCAATTCAGCGAGGAGAAGGAGGAGGGCGTTGTAGATTTCAGGCGGAACTATCTTTTACAGCGACGACACATGTCGGCCCTGCTCATTCGCACCAGTGGCCGACGAAAGTCGCCGAGTGGCGGAGGAGAAGCTATAGCTGTCGCGGCGTTATCCCGACGCAGGCTTGTTTCGCGGGGTCTCGAAACCCGAAGACGCCACACAGCTCGTTAAACTGTTCAGCGTCCGTGAAGGCGTACCTAGACACCGTGCAGTGGCGTCCCGTCTTTAGCGTCGCGTTTTAATTACTTCACCCGCGGAGCCCCGCCTGTCGTCTCGTCTTGCCGACGACGACGGTTTCTTGCGAAAGATGAGTACAGCCGGGGTTCGCGCTCGCGACCCGTGAAGGCGACTGTGACTGACGTGCGCCCGCACTGGTGCTACCTGTTGAAGCACTAGACTTTGCGAGTATAGCGTTGTTTTCCATAATTTCCAATGAGGGAGGAGAAGGAGAGAGAGAAAAGGAACAGCTTAATGACAGGTTAGGTTGAGAGGTTGGTCTGGAACGCTCGCCTCGATCCTGCTGCTCCACAAGTGGGACGAAATTATTGGGAGAGTCGGCAGCAGGAATAAGAAAAACGCCAGGCCTGTTTGGAAGGACCAGCACAGTCGCATCGAAAGCTAGAAGAGAGGCCTTTCAGAGCCTTTTCGAAACGCTCATTGGGTAACTATACTGCAAGTACACTTGCTTGATACCCACTAGGGCATTAATAATAAACTTTTGGGTAGTAGGCCGGCATTAGCTATGCTATTGTTCGTCATTCTTCTGAGAAGTGTGGTATCCGCTTAACACTTGCAAGGAATGTCATGCCGATTGTTCATGCAGCGGCTGACAACCATGAGGAATTATGGCTGAAGTGGATATGCGCCACAATTAATAGGGGAACAAGAACAAGCTTTTGTAATTGGTTGGAGCATTGCACTCCCCACTCGTTACGCTATTCGCATTGTGCGGCGACTGGCTTTTATGTCGCCGTTTTGAAACTCTTGATAAGTCGTATTGACGCGATTGCTTTCCCGACATCAAGCCTGCCTAAGGCAAGTTTGCCAGGAAGTCACAAGCACCAGTGTAGCTCATGGTAGAATACTGAGCTGGTACCCAGCAGAACTGGGTTTTGAGCCACACTGTGTCTTTGGTGCTATTTTTTTTTAATTTCGCGCGATGTGGTTACGGACACCGGCGGTGGTGGACAACTACGCGTGACCCGAGTTTTGATCTCATAACAGCTTTCGCTGTAGAAAAAAAAAGTGGATTCACTTTGACGTGCAACAGTGAACGCTTGTTTGTTAGTTAGTTTGTTAGTGATAAACTCAGGGTCAGCTTATGCTACAGAAAGGAGTTGTAGGAAGCTTAAAAAATAACATTATTATGACAAAGAAGCAGTACACTGTTTCTAATGCAGTTATAGTTAATGAGAGGCACAATACAACATGAAGTTACCACGGAAATATACATATTAGAAAAAGATTGCCGTGCATTGTTATTACTGCACGATACTGGTTGTATTCTGCTATAATAGCTATTAAAATGCAGAACGAAGCAGTAAGAGTGCAATACTGATAATTGTGCCATAACGACTATTAAGGTGCAAAATACAATCTATCGCAAGACATTGGCTGACGAAATCACAAGTGTGTGACGATGTGAAGTCGCAACTAGCGCTGGTTTTAACCAGTTAAACGCGTACTATCTGGTATGCATTACGCGTTACGTAGCAGTATATGATGGCTTCGGGTTGCAGAGGGGAGGCTCGGCAAATGACTTCCGCCATTTTATCGCTCGCGCTGCAAACCTCTACAGCTCATTCACGAGTTGCACAGAGTTCTTTACTCTGAATTGAAC